GACTCTCGAGTTAGAGTTTCACTCAAAGGACCACGTGGTGATCTTGAAATCACCACCACAAACCAGGTGACAGGGACCATTGAGGCAACAAAATCCAGTTCTTCTCAGAAGAACTCTGTAAGGTAGGCAGAGTTGCGACTTGGGACCATAGACTGCTGAGAATTTCTAGGCAAGGCCAGATAAAATTCAAGAGAACACTATGGAGACCGAGATGGCAGCTACATGAGAGGAGGAGAGAGCATGGAGGGTTTGGTCCCAGATGACTCAGTTCCCACTTATAAGGCTCCTTGGCTTCCAAAGCCTCCCATTGGCAGGGAGACTTAACATATTAGGGGTAGGGTGGGTTGGGGCTGCTTTGTTTCGATAATAACCAAAACAGTAAGTGCCCGAATGGCTTTACGCTTGTCAGGATCTTCGAAACCCCAAATGTTCTAAGTGGCAATTCGCATGGAGGTAAGTTTGTGAATGAGGACAGGAGCCTAGGAGAGTGCCTTAGCTGCTGGCCCGCCACCCCAGGGGGGGGCACGGGCGGCTGAGCCACAATGAAGAGGGGAGGATGGTCCTTGATCTTCCTTTAGCCCTTTTCATACTGAACCCTAAAATAGAGGTTAGAGATCTCCCTCTGCTCTTTGGCACTTACTTTGGATATGGTTTAGCATCTACTTTGAGGAATTTGCTAATGTTCACATCAAGTCCGTCGTACTGGAAGCCCATTGTCTTGAGAACTTTATGGATATCCCTTTGAGCATTGCCGCTCCCTTCAACATAGTCCAAGCCCATCAAATGGGAGAAATCAGTCTGCGAGCATGCTAATGACTTGGGTCAAAGTAGCTTAAGAGCAGAATGAACCGCAAGTCACCATGGGTATTGGGTAGGCCGACCAAAGCGTGTTGCTAGCAGGTTTTGGGGTAGATGGATTTCCTGTGTGGGTACACTGCAGGTTGGGAGTAGAGGCCGAAAAGTTCGAAAGGTCTAGGCACTGTCTACACCTAAGGTGGGAGAGGAAGGATGGCTAAGGGGGAGGCTTGAAGAACTTGGATTGGCTAGTAGGATGGGGCTAGGGGTTAGAGGTGACCCCAGGGAGAGAGGACAAGCAGGGCTTGGACCCATGGACAAGTTAAAGGAATAGCCCAGATGTTGTAGGGGAAAGGCTTCGTGGTGGAGACACTTTGAGGGGTCAAGGGGAAAATGGGGGGAAGGAGATATGAGACGAGGTGGAAGAAAGAACGGTTGAATGAAGGTGAGACCGTGCTGGTAGATGAGATGGAATCCCAGAGGACCCGGAGGGGCGGGTAGTGGCAAAGGTCCCAATTGGGATTGAGCGTGGACTCCCACGAGACCCTAGGGTAGAGGAAATGGAGGATTGGAAAGAATAGGCCCCCAAACAAAGAATGTGCGCTACGATTGCTCCATTGAATGTTGGGCCTTAACTTAGGCTCTTCAGGGTGGGGACAAGAAGCGATGATGGGGTCAGCAGGTGACATGTTGAGGGAGGTTGGGGGGAAAGGTGGACTTGAGTTGAAAGGGGAATGGCCTGTGGGTCCAGGAGAGGATTAGAGACACTGTGGGGATCCTCCTGTGATGAATAAAGGAGAGAGGAGGGTTAAAGAGTGGAGTGAGTGGTGGTGGGATGGTTGCGCAAATGGGAGAGGAAGGTCCGGTTTGGCAGTGCTAGTGGGGAATATGGGGATTATGAGGTTACCCAAGAGAGTGTACATGTGGACGAAGGGGGGTTGGGGTTTAGGACTTTAGGTAAGTGATGGGGGGCGAGCACGAGAGAGGGGAGTCACATGCGTAAGGGTTAGAAGGTGCATCCTTGAGTCACACGTGGGAAGGTGCTTATGAGAAGATAAGGTCAGGGTTGGAAGAACGGTGTCGAGCATCGGGGTTGACACTACCATCAGCTAAACAGTAACGAGGTCCTCTATACCGAGCAAGTGAGGGGATGCAGCATCAAATGTTGAAGGATCCGAGGATGACTAAGAGTTGTCAATGTGGTCGGTAATTGCCCCACTTGGGGGTGATGGAAAGTCCTAGGGAAGCGGAGCGCTAGTTGTCTTGGGAATTAAGGGCGGGGAGGCCAATGATACCTGGAGGCGAGTTTGAAATTTGGGGCAGCTGTCGGCTCAATAAATTGGCACACTTTCCAGCCAGGGTCATGAGGACTACCCTGATGTGCAAGCATCTGGCGAGGGCTGGCTTGGGCTTGCGTCAGCTTGATGAAGAGGGGAGCTGGAGATTAGGGGGATCATGGGGCTTCAACAGCTGAGATGCACTCTCATCGCTTATCATTTCTGTGATGCTTCCAGCTCGGGGCCACTTGGGACGCCCACAATGATCGGTTCTACAGTTGGGATGGGACCTCCTGTGGCGCCTATGGACTACAGCAGTTCAACCGTCTTGGATTTCTCTAGTCTGCTCTCTGTGATGCCTACTATAGACATTCTGCTGAGCATCATGATCCTGCTCATGGCCGCCAATGGGTATAGTGATGAGGACTACCATGCGAAACTAACTCAAAAAAAGTAACCCTAGATGGCGAGCCACATCTAGGAGGGATGAGCTTAGCGTTGACTGTTTCAATAAGCATCTAGATAGTACCCAGGGGCAGAAATTCAGAGGACTCCAATGGACTGATATGAACTCTCCAAAGGTGTTGCCAATCTGTTTGAAAGTATCTATGCCACGCATGAGGGGGATATCAACGGCACCCAGTCAGACCTTCGGTTAGTGGTGGGCTTCCATATCCTGTCTCCACGGGAGCAAGTACAGTGAGGCTCCTTTGAACCAACGGTCCTTGATGCCTAAGGCACTGTTGATGCTACCTTCCATCAGGCAAGAGAATAGGAAAGCACCATTTGGCAATCTCCAGCATCCCAAGTTAGTTTCATTCCATAAACCCTGCCCCCATTGCTTGATTCCTCTCAGATCGTCTCTCTGTGGTTTGAAGAAGGCCCAACAAGAGACCTCTGTAATTTCTGCCCTTGATCAGCGATATGCTGGACCTCTAGGGTTAGGAGTTTCGGAAAAATGACTTCTGGATGGTGCATGCTGGCTGGGAGGGCAGGGGATAGGAGGGATGCATAGAGGGAGGCAGCAGGATTGGTGTAGATTTAAGGGCAGGAAGAGCAAGAGGTGGTGGTTTGAATAGGTGCACATGGTTCTGGTATAGAGGGGGGAGGGCTGGGCAGGGAGGGCCAAATCTTGGCTAGGAGGGGAAGGGCGTTGAACATGGGTGAAGGTGGTGAGGAGGAGCTATAGAGAGGATCATCTCAAAATCTTTCAGATCTCTGCAAAATCGTGGTTCCAATATAACCTGTCCTTCCCCCACATGAAATAGTCAGTCACACTAGTATAGGGATCAACACAATCGTTAACAGAGATGGAATCTAGGCCCTAATGGTCGACTCTGCACCCAAGTAAATGCCAGAAATCAACCCTCGTCTATCTCCTACCTAAATCTTATGTGCTAACATAACTCATTACATGTGCCACAAACACCTCTCCAGGACGTCAAGAGTCTCAATGAGCTCTAACGTGCTCTAGGTCCCCAATCAAACACATTCGTTTAGATTCAATGTGACATTTGTGCACCATTACCCTTACTTCTCCCAGACACATGCATGAACCTCCTAAGTTTCATTGATATATTGTAGAAGCATCATAATACCACCTGTTACTATCATTTTAATTGACATTTGCATCAATCGACCATGATTTGTGATGTGCAGGTTGCCACTATTAACAGGTAGGATCCTACTCTCGAGCACCCCTAATAGTATTGTGGGCCATTGTCAAATAGTTCCTCAAAAGAAGAAAACAAAGATATTGTGGGGCATCGATTCTTCATGTTCACCTCACTTTGTCCCATAGGGTAAATCTCAAATTGATTCTTCCTCTATGTATTCCCATCCCTCCTCTCCAGCTTGTTGGTTACAAGTAATGAAGGAACAGATTTCCATGGGAATCAATGTGGGATCACTAATGAATTTCCTTTGGTACATGCACAATTTGTTGGCGATGGGTGCATAGTGTGAAGCCTAAACGTGGCATGTGGGTGATATAGTCTAGGAGTAAAGGGATGCTCAGCAGTCAGCACTACGACCCCTAGTGATCAAGAAGACAGTTGCCGGAATGTTGTTAATGGGTACCGACCACAGTTAAGATTTTGTCTCTTCATCAGCTTGGCGTAGAGCGTGCACTAAAGATGACAGTTGTTCATATGTTATTATTGGCTACAGCCCACAGTTAAAATTTTGTCTGTTCAACAGCCTGGTATAAAGATTGCATTTCCCATATGCTAATCTTTGTGAAGAGGTCTCAATATGTTCTCTGTGCTTTCTGTGTAAATTGTTGTCTTAATCCCCGCATAGCCGTCCATATAAGGCACTTTCTGGACTCAAAGAAGCTTCCAAATAGATATATGGTGTGTGGTTCTTTATGTTTGTGTGCCTATGCAATATCTATTTTAAGAAGATTGTCAGGACTAGGCACTTCTCAGGAATGCTCAGTGAAAGGAGGCTGACCCATTCCATCTGAAGAATATGGGACACTTTCACTTTGTTCTGGTATCGAGGTTATTTGATCCCTAAGAGGGTATAGTCTTGTGTGATGCAAGTTAGCTCAGTAATCGACATTCCAAGAAAATATCATAAATAGGAAATAAATGATGAGCTAAATATAAAAATGTTAGTCTCCACTGGGGTCGACAGAAGCTAGACACAGGACAGAAGATGGTCGATGGCCTTTTTACTAAACTATCGGCCAAAAACTATGCAAATAAGGTATGTTCTAGGATGAGTTTTGGCATCTCCTCAAAATGGTACTATATGCAAGGAAAAGAAAAATACTAAGCCTAATGAATGAGACAAAACTATAACAGATCCTATGGATACCATTAAATGAGGAGAATAATGCTAGGTGGTCATTAAGAACCAAGAGTCTTTAAAAGCTAGTGAATGAAGAACACAACAACTAATTTGACATCAAAAGCATATCACCTGCTTCTTTGTTTGGGACAGTGACATAAACAACAATGCTGGGCACAGTGTTTGGATTGTTTTCCATTCCAGAAGAGTGAATGCCTTTTGCAGATGATTGAATTGTATACCTCAACCTGAGAAATAACCATGAGAACTAAAATGAGCCAAACAAAGATGAAAATAGTCTACATAAAACAAGGCTATACATTAGAAGTGTAATATAAAGCAAACATATCATAAATTTTACTATAATTAGATCGGCCAATGTAACTAGTCGATAGGTCACTGGATGTGCAGAAAGGAGTGTAGAAGTATCTCTATAGTGAGCTGCATATGTGCAGAAAGATACATAGATGCTACATGCAGCAACTTTTAATACTAGTTAAGGCAAGAGTGGGGGGAAAGAAGTCTCAAGGGCTAATATTGGAGTGCAATGCACTGTCGATAATGTGATTGTAACAACAGAATATGAGATTCAGCACCTTCAAGTCAACACATGAGCAATGAAATATATACCAATCGGCATCACTCTCTTATATGTTCTTTTACAGTTTTCAAAACCCAAATCAGCAAGGTGAACCAACCATCCTGGAAACCAGTCCGGATCATCAATCCAGCTGATTCTCCTAGGTGAAAGTCGGCCAAAAGAAAATCTTTGAAAAAAATAACAAGGAAAAACTAATAAAAAATATAAATCATGGGAAATAGGTGATCTGGGCGATCTGGATCGCCTGGTTCTGTGATAGAATTGGCTGGTTCACTGAAGGACCCAGACGATTTTGTGAGAATCGGGATGATTACTGGTTCCGAACAGTAACCGGATCAGTTCCCATCGATTCCTAATCCGAATCAGTGGGTTTTGAATCAGTCTATTTTAAATTGACGAACTTGAATTAGTGTTTGCTATAATGATCTCGCTCTTGATACGTCAAATAACATCAATATGCACTACAACAGATCGTAAGAATGCAATCTTTAGTGAGCTTAATGACTTGGATAGCTGATCTCAACTTTGAAGAAAAATGACAATGGCACAGAAATTACTCAGTGGCATTAGTAATGAAAATTGGAGTCTAAAATGGTCATCTGGCTGATGTAGATAAAAGTTAACATTGTGCGTTTTGGAAAAGTTTTCCCGTTGTACATATTATGACGCAACAAGGCATATTAAACACATGATTTACAACCTTCTTCTTTTTTTTTGATGTGCAAAAGCTCTTCTCTGAGTCATAGCATTCAATTCATTAAAATGTATAATGCACATTAGAACACCGTATTAAAATGAAAATGGATCATGGCAGATATAAATCAATGGAAATTGGTTACGAATGATGCTAATTTCCTTATTTTTCCTTTTTTTATTTCTCCAAAGTCCAAACTCCAAACTAAAGTACTATTCTTTGAATCTTTGACTCAATGCTTTTGCTTCATGTCAGCCACAAACACCAAAATTATGCCCCACACTACCATTTTACAACTATGCTTTTGTTTATCTACCAAGACAATCCATCATCTAATCCTTTTTTGTGTTTTCTTTCTTATGGGGTGTGGCACCCCTCTACAAAAGATCACATAATAGAATTCATCAACACATTAGCACAACAATATCGTAACTTACAAAACTGATGAAAACAGAAATCTCCTGGAACTACCTTATCAAACCCCAGCAGCTATTCAAAGAATACCTAATCATCCTAGTCAAAGATAAAAATGTTATTTGAGCCTCCAGTTCTATCATCACAAGGACTTTTGAGTGAAATCATTGGTACGGAACAAAAATAAACGGATACCACCTCTCTCATCATGGTGCTTTGGAGTATACAAGACCAAATTGGTAATATTTGGGAAACATAACACTATGTTAGTCTTGCACCATTATTTCCAATCAGGATTGACCATTACATATAGTTTGAAAGGACAAAGAACCTCTTCACCCAAAATATGTTGTATCAATCCATTTCACGCTTCATATTTTTGCTGAGAATATACCGGCCCCAAAAAGAAAATCCTCAGCACCAAGATAAAACATGCTAATCACAGTCTCCATCTCACACTTGCAATGGGCTACCTTCTCAGCTAACATAAAAATACATTGCCCTCACAAGCAAGGGGTCTCAACATTGCTCAGCGTCTATGAATCCATTTTTTGCCCACCCAAATCAAACAACATTCTACCGAATTAATTCTCATAAAAAGTGCTTCAGACCTAGGTTGTAATTCTCAAGCAGAACCAGTGCATGGATTTTCCATTGACACAAATAACGAGCAATTTTTGCTCGAGCAATCTATGTTAACTAATTCTGAAAGTATGAACTAGATGTTAACAAGTTTTTCTCGTAAAATTTCACATTTTGTACGCCAAATTTCCTTTGATTTCCTATGCCAACACAATGGTTTGAATATTTCTTCATGACTAACAAAGAAGGAAGTGAATATTCACCTTCTCACAAGCCAATTTGCCTTTGAGATCCATATTGCCATTCCCAGACTTAGAATTATCCAAACGACTCCCATCAAATAAGTAAATTTGTTCCACCCCATCACATAACACAGCTCTAGTTACAACAATAAAAGGAAAAAATAAGAGAAAACAATATTTATCCTCAACCACAAATAACCCGAAAACTTTCCCATTTTCTAAAAAATAAAGAAGAAGAAATTAATGTATTGATGCCTGCTGAAGTAAATATCTCAGAGAAAATATCAAAAGAATTAAAAATAAAAACAAAATTACCACCAATATAATTCATAATTCAGATAAATAATGCAAACAACAGTAGAAGAAATGAAAAAAATCAAGGTCCTATGCAGCCCCAACAGAGATTAACAATGAAACAGTGAAAAAGAGAAACACCCATACAATGGAACCCTATAGTATAAGAGAATAAGGATCAACAATAGAACCTAGATTATAAGAGAAGTAAGGAATCAAACCAAAACTATAGTGTCTAAATAAAGCAGAGGAAGGCGAGCTCAGGAATAAGGGGCAAGATGATGATACCTTGGGGAAGGGATGAACGGCTGAGATTGCACGTACACAGTCGTAGATGGAAAATACGGGCTGAGATTTGTGAAACCCAGGCTCAGAAGACAAAATGCTCGAACCAGAGGAGACCTATAATGCAGGGAAGGAGAAGAAAAAGAGAGCAGGGGACGGGTAATATTAACACTGAGTGATAATTTATTGAGTGCCATCTCACGAGACAGTAAAGTGAGTTTCAGTGTCATTTGTTTGTATATCATAGACACCATAGATATCAAAGTG